CCTCTGGACAACGAATGTAACCTTTCTGCCTCCATTTCCTCACAAGTAACGGGAATAGAGCACGGACTTCAACAGCACTTACACCTCATGCAGTTGCTATGAAGATTAAACAATTTAAGTGCTAAAAATAGCACCTGGAGCCCTAGCCGGTTTGGCTCAGTGGAGAGACCATCACCCTGTGGTGGGTCTCAAAGTTCATGAAGGGTCCCAGGTCTGATTCCCGTTTTGGGCTTGATCCCCAGTAGGGGGCATGCAGGAGGCAGCCAATCAAGGATTCTCTCTCTCTCTCCCCTCCTCTCTGAAATCAATAAAAATATATTTAATACATTTTTAAAAAAACAGCACCTGGACATAAGAACTCAATTTATGTTCCTGTAATCACTGCCGTCTTCTTTAATTTTCGCTATGAAAGGGATGACTTACAACTCCTTGAAGGAGGCTCTAATTGTGTCCCCATTGTAAGCTTTAAAGTTTAGCCGAAACCGGTTTGGCTCAGTGGATAGAGCGTCGGCCTGCGGACTGAAGGGTCCCAGGTTCGGTTCCGGTCAAGGGCATGTACGTGGGTTGCGGGCACTTCCCCAGTGGGGGATGTGCGAGAGGCAGCTGGTCGATGTTTCACTCTCATCGGTGTTTCTGGCTCTCTATCCCTCTCCCTTCCTCTCTGTAAAAAAATCAATAATAAAAAAAAAAAGTTTGGATTATTCTGTGCACAATTACCGTTTTAAATATTTTAAAGAAAAGTTGCAAGAATGACATAAAGAATTCCCATACAGCCTTTACCCAATTCCCTAAATATTAACATTTTATCACATTACTTTTAATTCTCCATTTTAAGTTTTCCTTTTACAGCCAAATGTGTGGTGTTTTTCCTCTGAGGGTAGGTTACAGACCTGTTATTTCTGAATATACTTTAGCATGCAGTTTTTAAAAAACAAAAACATAAAAGCTGTATCATTGCCACCTTCTGCTTAAAAAATATCCGGCTGGCTCACCCCGAACCCTACTACTTTAGTTAAAATCTTAGTGCACCTAACTTGAGGCTTTGTAGGTGTGTTTTTGCTAGTTTTCCCCTGGAAAACATACAGGAGAAAATTTAAATCACCAGGTAATTAATTTCATCACCCAGAGATGAGCCCTGTTTAACGTTTGGCCTCTATTCTTCAGACCTGCGGTCGCCACCCAGTATCCACAGATCACTGGTGGTCCGTGAGGTCCGAAAGGTGGGCGACCACTTGTTCTAGAGCTCTCCATTATCCCATATTGAAGCAAAAACAAAAACCTAAGCCTCAAAAATCAACTTTATTGCCCGGCTGGCACGGCTCAGTGGTTGAGCGCCGACCTATGAACCTGAAGGTCACGGTCCGATTCCCAGTCAGGGCACATGCCCGGGTTGCGGGCTTGATCCCTAGTGTGGGGCATGCAGGAGGCAGCCGATCCATGATTCTCCCTCATCACTGATGTTTCTATCTCTCTCTCCCTCTTCCTTTCTTTGTGAAATCAATAAAAATATATTTTTAAAAAATCAACTTAATTAAAACAGGGCAAGAACAACACTGGTTAGAATTGTTAAATCCAGTTCTATGAATTACTGAGGGCAAGTCCAGAAAGTGCTGACTGCAGAGTTTCAAGGTGGATCAGAGTAGCACTAGGAAACCGCACTCAGCACAGGCTCTTTCAAGCCACATTCCGGCTGGTAAACTGCACGTTTCCAGCACAGAACCAGGAAAAGAGGAAGCTGTACTGGCCGTCACAGCAGCGTATCCTCCCGGGTGAGAAAACTGTGACAGGCTCCTAGCGTGGAGCCCAGAAGGAAGCAGGCCCACGTTTCTGAGCGCCTGGGCAGCTTCTGGGACACTGATGAAAGCTCCGGTCCCAGGGCCCTTTGCTAGCTTATCCGAGTCCCCTCTAGGACACAAAGCGGTGACCTGCACTCATACTTCATCACTAATTAGTTGGCCAAGGAATCCTGCTGTGAACAAAGAATTTCTATGGTAATAAAACCTCACTTTCCTCCTATGAAAAGCAAACATGGCCCCAAACCTAAGCTCTCCCATCAGAGCTCTGCTCTGCTCTTGCTCACCCGCATGCTGACGGGGACAGGGCCTCTGAAGGCCCGTGCTGTCACTGTGCCGCAGTTTCCTTCCCCAGGCTTGTGCCGTAACACCATACGTCCGCAGGTTTATCGGAAGGACCGATGAAATAACGTCTGTAAAGTGTTCTAATTTGCAAGGATGAAAAGGGCTATAACTACAAAGTCAAAGAGGAATGAAAGAACGTTTTTAAGCTGCAACCACTTCTGTCTTTTGAACTGCAGAACCACAAGGAGGATCAAAGGAGTGTCAGTTTGTTGACGGCTGCTCTGGAGGCCTCCTCCCTACACCTGGCAGAAACCCCAGAGTGAGGTCTACCGTGATTGTTCCCTTAACCAGATCTCAAGACAAGTTGTACAAGGGTTTCCTGGAACACCTTGAGCAGAAGAGATGGGGGAAGCCAACATAGCCTGCATAGCTTGTTACATTCTTCCATGAACGTGGGCATTAAAAGTAAAAGGCGGCCTTGGGAGGGAGAAATGCAAATATGCAGGGAAAAAGTTGTTTTGCCTGGTCCCCTTTTGGCATAGTGACTGTGTAAGGCTACAGCAGCTTGCATAATAAAATGCTTAAACTTGGCTAAATTAATCTTCTTTGCCATGGGGGTGAGGGGGGACCGCAGAATTAAGATTACGGGAAATAAGGCTAATCAAAGCCGAACAGTAACAAAGGGCACCGAAAACATTTCTACTGTATCACACCCCCCAGGCTGGCCAAGAGCCCGGAATTTCCATTACAACTTTTCAGAGAGGGAGCGAAGGAGCAAAAATATTTCACAAAAGCATTATCAAGGCCCCAACCTTGGATGCCCTGCTGCACAACCGAAATCTGTGAGAGGTCGGCCTTTCAGGGAGCCAGAAACCCAGCGTGTGGAAGCGGGCAGGCCTTTTATGTCGTAGGAGGGTTCAGAAAACCACTACTGTTTTGCACTGAAGCCTCAGAGCTTCACAGATCATTAAAGGGTTCGGAACCACAGAGAAAGGAGGGCAGAGTTAAGGAAATAAATCAAAAGTTCCTCTGGGATGCACAAACGCCTACTTGGAACAGGCTTTCAGCCGAATATCCTCCACATTAAACAACAGGGAGGGTTTTTCAAAATAAAAGCAGAAAAGAGCTTCGTTTTGTTACAAGCAATGCACTTTCTTTTTGGTTGAAAGGTTATGTGTGCCATAAAAAATGACTCCTGTGGTGAGCGCTTGGGGGACATGGAGGCTGGGCTGGGGCAGGGGTGATGGTGAAAGAAAACAGTGGAAGTGAACAAAAAGCCCAACAGAAAGGGCTCAGCCGGGGGCACCCCAAACAAGCAACGACTTGTCATATTTTAGGGGAAGGATGTTAGGAAGGGGAATGGTATTCCTAGAAAGAAATTTCTATCACGTTTACTCCTTGCCATCCTTGCCTAAGAACTGAAATAATTTTCCCAGAGCCAGAAAGAGTTCTCTGGTTTGCCTGTGTAACATACCCAGTTGAAGACCGGGGGAAATGGGCTGCGTCATCTTAAACGCCCGGAAGCATCAGCTCTCTCAAAACCAGCAGAGGGAGCACAGCATCTGAGAACAGGAAGTGGTCAACCCCAAAGCTAAGGATTTGTGTTCATCCAAGGCCACGGCCCAGAAGCGGTCACAGGCCTGACCTTGCCTGTACGTTATCCAGCAACAGGAAACAGCCACTGTCAGTGGTAAATCCAGAATGAAATGCTAGACTACCCACTCAGGGAGGATCTGTTTGTTGCACAGCCAGGTGAGGCAGCAGGGAGGACAGCAGAACTACCCACACTTGGGTCTGGACACAATTGAAGCCCAGTGGGGGGGGACTTGGAAAGGAGCGGAGGGGTCTCAGGGGGGGAAAAAGGCTACGTGGAAGGCAAAAAAGCCATTTGGAAAACTGACAGCAAGCACCAGGGCAATGATTTCACCTTAAAATCCAGGGCTCCCAGTTGTTTGTGAACAGCCCATTTCTAGACTTTGTTTCGGGGGAGAAGGGGTTGAGACAAAAGCAGCAAAACAGAAGGCATACGTCTGCTACATGAGCGCCATCTTAATCTTCAGCCACAGTTTACCAAACATGGGGAATGGGTTGAGGGATTGACACAGTGCCAAGATTATCCGGCTCTGGGGTCTGGGATGGGACTATGGCGGAGGGGCTCGCCCAAGGAAAGAGCCTGCTGTTCCAGGCATGATTGTGCTGTCGCTGGAAACCATCTTTGCTCAGGTCCACGCCACGTGTTAAAATGGCCTAACTGGCCCTGACCAGTTTGGCTCAGTGTATGGAGCGTCGGCCTGCGGACTGGTCAGGTTCGATTCTGGTCAGGGTCCTGTGCCTTGCTTGCAGGCACATCCCCAGTGGGGGGTGTGCAGGAGGCAGCTGATTGATGTTTCTCTCTCATCGATGTTTCTATCTCTCTCCCTTCCTCTCTGTGGAAAATCAGTAAAATATATTAAAAAAAGAAAAAGAATAAAAAAAGGCCTAACTGATTAGTCTAAGTATGCACTGCTCTATTAGGTATTGTCCGTTACTAGATCCTAATACTAATACTTTTTCATTGTAGGAAATGAGAGGTAGGTTAAAAATGCTAACTTTAATACGTGTTAAACTCAATAGAATAAACAAAACCTACAATGCAACTTTCTGTTACACTAGGAGGTGTGCCTGCCTGCTGGGTGAAGGAGAGGGCAGGGACAGAGCGCCTGGCTGCCTGGCACTGCTGAGACAAGGGCCCAAAGGAGCTCCCCGGAAGCCTGCAGCCAGGAGCCCAGGCGAGGACGTGCCACCTATTCTACCCCATCTTCAGAGCCTCCATGAGTGTCCTGGCAATAACTTTCTGTCATCAGGGACATGACCAGGACAATGTATGGGAGGTGAAGTGACTCAGATTCCAGCTTAATAAAAAGAGAACATTTCACACAAGGCAACTGTCCAAAACCAGCAGAGTCACATTTAATGAGTTCAGGTTCTCAGGAACAGTAGGGCAGCCAGTTGAGAAGAGGGATTCAGGTACTGGGATTTTCCTGAATAGACAACAAGGATACTTCAAGGACTCTTTTGGGCAAGGTATTTCAAGCAAGTTTTTACATTTTCAAACACCTATCCTTCAGATAGCTTCGAGCACTAACCGCACCACTTCCAGGATGCACACAATTCCCCCAGCCCTCATCTCCAGCATCTTCAACTCCCATTACCACTTAATGTCCACACCACATAGTTTATTTTAGCACTTGGGTTCATGCCAACTCACATGTGGTAACCAGTCGGAGGTCCCCAGGGAGCAGGACCACATCTCTAATCTTCTCATCAGACTCAATGAACTCGGTAAGTGCTTGCTGACTATTAGAAATAACGTGTCAGGATTTCACACTGGCTAAACCCTCTAACATCTTACATTTACACAGGCTAAACCCTCTAAGTCACTGATTTCTAGAAAAAAATTTATAATACACATAAGACATACCTAGTAAGGCACTTAGCATTTGGGAAATTAGTAATCAGAATAGAAAAAAATGCAAAAGAAAATATGCATTGCATTAGTATGAGTCTAAGACAAATACACTGGCCAAATGGGTACATGTACCTACTCACTTGGTAAATTTGCACAATTTACATACAAAATGACTATATAAGAAACATTATATCCTATATTATTCTGCCTAATCATCTGGTAGACACAATATGGTACAGAGAAGCACATGGACTTTTCTCCTGAGTCACCTAAAAGGCTTACATGGTCAGAAGAAATAAGGCGTTCTGCCCTGGCTGGTGTAGTTCAGTTGGTTGGGCATCATCCCGTGCTCTGAAAGGTTGCTGGTTTGATTCCCGGTCAGGGCACATACCTGGGTTTCTGGCTCGATCCCCAGTAGGGGGCATGCCTGAGGAATGAATGCACAACCTGGGTATGTGCCTTGACCGGGAATTGAACCCACAACCTTTTGATGTACACTCCAACCAACTGAGCCATCTTGGGCAGGGCTTCAAATTTTGATAAATAAATTGAGTCCACAGAACAGAGCAAATTTTGAAATTTATTTTAAAAGTTTTGTTTAATGCACAGCAGGATGGAGCATTGTCCTGTACACCAAAAGGTTGTGGGTTTGATTCCGGTCAGGGCACATACCCAGATTGCAGGTTCAATCCCCGGGCAGGGTGCATGTGAGAGGCAACCGATCGATGTTTCTCACATTGATGTTTCTCCCCCGCCCTTCCTTTCTCTGAAAACATATCCTTGGGCGAGGATTAAAAAGACAAAGTTTTGCCCTGACTTGTGTGGCTTAATGGTTAGAGTGTTAGCCTGAGCACGGAAGGGTCTCGGGTTCGATACCATGCCCCAGTCTGGGGAAGTGAGGGTGCAACCAATCGATTGATGTCTCTCTCTCTTCTCTCTCCTTTCTCTCTCTCTCTTTCTCAAAATCCATGGGAAAAATGTCCTCCAATGAGGATTAACAAAAGAAAGTTTTGTTTTTCTTTTTTTTAAATCCCACATTTTCCAGAATGTCTAGAGTTTGCCCAGTTCACTTGCTCCGCTGAAGTTGGCCAGGTATACAGTTTCACTGGGCCTGTTTCCTTTAGAATGTAATTGTTCCACAAATTCCAAATTCTTCCTCCAAAACTTAAAACACCTGTCTTAACAACTCAAGGCCACAGATCTCTAACCCGATTCCAAAACAGAGCATCTGTGGGAAGGAGAACCAAGTTCAGACCTGAGGAGGTGTGTGTTCGAATTAAAAATCACCAAATCCCAAAGGTGTTGGGCCTTTGCTGCTTCAGCCCTCTACAATAATAAAACACACAAAAGTCACCATTTCTTGCCAAAGTAAAGGAAAATCCAACCCTTGTACCTGGGAACAAAGATATAAGGGCTGCAGCTGAAAATACATAACCAGAGCATTGTAGAAAAAACGTCAACTTAATATTGTTCAGAACATGCTCAGGGGTGTTTCACTCATAAGCAAAAGACACAGGATAAAAATTCCAGACTGTTTTTAAGATAATAAAATGGCATATGACGGTGACTCACTAACTGACTAAAAGGGAAAAAAATCCATCAACAGTCACAGGAACCTTGAAAGGCTGCAGAATCTGGCAACAGTGAACCTCCTCCACCTCGCTTGGCTCTCACCTCCAGCACACGCGCACACACACACACACACACACACACACACTAGTGACCAATTTGAAGCCAAGCTGCAATTGGCTAATGGCTTACTCTACTGCTTAAAACAATATTTTATTCTTGACTTGCTCAATAAAACTGCTGAGAAAAATAAACAATGGGCTTCAATCTTATAAATAATCTAGAAAACAGAATTACTATGCAAACAGTAGAGGTGACTTACTGCCCATGGTCAACAGAACAGGAAAGTCCAAGGTGGCACAGTGAACCCCAGTCCTGGTCTCACTATCTTGGGACGTGAGAGTTAACAAGGATTTTCTGCCCACTAAACAGTCTAAAGCCTGGGGTGCCCAGGTTTCAACTGGTCTTTAAAGCAGCACAGCACCAAAGGAGATAAGATCTTGAAACCAACACAAAGAGCAAAAGGTGAGGAAAAACACAGAGAAGCTTTACTCTTTTAGGATTGTATATATCTGCTAGGGGCCCAGTGCATGAATTTGTGCACCTTGAAAGGAACTGTGGGTCGTGAGGCTGAGGTAGGCACAGGGGCGGGTCTCGGCCCATCCTCTGAGGGCCCCCCCTCTGCCCCTCCCGCTGCAGCCCTGGTCTCCTGTCTGCTGCAGCCCTGCTCCCGCCGCCACTGCTCTCATGCACTGATGGCACTGGCCCCACTCGCACCCACTGACGGCACAGAGTGATTGGGGCCGGCGCCAGCAGCGGGTGTGAGCAGGGCTGGTGCCATCAGCAGGTGCGCGCAGCGACTGCTGCTCCCATCACCTGTCAGGAGCAGGGGGAGGTGGAGAAGCCCTCAGGGGCGATCAGGGCTGGAGGCCACCGCTCACACCCGCTGATGGTGCTGAGTGATTGGGACCAGCACAAGGCACCAACAGTGGGTGCGAGTGGGGCAGTGCTGGTAGTGGGTGCAAGTGGCGGCTCCAGCGCCGGCAGTGGGTGCGAGTGGGGTCGACATTGGCAGCAGGTGCAAGTGCCAGCAGGACCGTGGTGTGCGGGAGCAAAGCATTTTCAGTAACCACCAAGGTTAGCCCCGATGACAATGACCAGCGCCCTGCCTTGGTCTGGCGCCCCCACTCACCTGCTCCACCATCCCACCATGGCCAACGCCTGCCATGTTCCACACACGCCCCCTTGTGGTCAGTGCACAGCGACTGGTTGTTCATTTGTTCCAGTTGTTCCACTGTTTGGTCTATTTGCATATTAGCCTTTTATTATATAGGATAGTTACCATGTATTTTTATCCCTCATTTACACGTGTGAATACATACAATTTCATTTTTAACGGATATTAAGGGCCTGTTGGAAGGTACTAAAGGTGACATAAAGAAATATTAAAATGTGGCTCCCGTCCAGAATGTCTTACATTCTATATAAAGACATACATGCATGTGTGTGTAAGAAAGAAAATGCATGGGGGGAGGGGAAAGGAGTAGAGTCGAAAGTTCAAGACTCAAATAAGATAAATATTAAACTTAAATGGGCAGAACAAAATACAGGTCTGTGGAGAGAGGAGCTGGGCTTTTTGTGGATGGCCCGGTCCATGCAGGAACGGACTCAGGTGGCTCTGAGTGCAGCCCAGGCAGGGCCTGTGTAACTGGGCTCTGCAGTCTCACTGACTGAGACTCAGGCACCTTCCAGGGAAGAACTCAAGCCCCACCGGCCTCTCCACACTCAGACTGTGGCCGCCAGGAGGGTAAGCCTGCTCTCCAGCACCTCAGACTCCCCACAGGAGTGCCTTTTAAAAACCACATTTTAATATTTCTTTATGTCACCGTTAGTACCTTCCAAAGGTTCCCCCACACAGTTCTCAAAACACTGCCAATTATGCCAACTGTGAGGATGGTTTAGATCAGTGGTTCTCAACCTGTGGGTCGCGACCCCTTTGGCGGTCGAACGACCCTTTCACAGGGGTCACCTAAGACCATCCTGCATAGCAGATATTTGCATTATGATTCATAACAGTAGCAACATTACTGTTATGAAGTACAACGAAAATAATTTTATGGTTGGGGTCACAACATGAGGAACTGTATTTAAAGGGCCAGAAGATTGAGAACCACTGGTTTAGACGCTCAAAGACCAAATCCTGGCATTACTGATGCCACAATTTAGAGGATGTAAGACATTTGAACAGAAGACCCATATTTCCATAGTAAAAAAAAAAAAAGAACAAAGGCCATTAATATGAAAACAATTTCAAAATTGAACATCTCAAGAAGAAAGCGTAGCTAATGGAATTCTGGTGTCTCAACCAAGGTTCCTCCTGCTTGCATTTCCTATTTTTATAATACAAGTCATGGTTTTCAAATTACATACGAGAAAAAAAATTTATGGGTGGGTGGAGGGGGGCATGATTTGTCTACCACCGGTAAGCTGTGAATAAAACTGAGGTGAATGTTTTTCTTAAGACAACGCAATTAATTTCTACTCTATTTTCTAAGTGTTACTCAAGGGCATAACTTAAAACTAAAATGAGCCAATTATAGAAGGAGTATGATTTCAGATACATTTTGAAACTTATTTTTAATGTCAGCTTTTAACAGACTAGCTGTATTTTTTTTAAAAAAAACTTCAGCAAACTGAATTTTCAAAGTTAGGATGAGTTCACGGATCTAGTAAGATTTTAAAAAATCTATTATCGATATAAAATCTGAGCTCCAAATAGATAAACTCAATGACTATAACCAGAGTAATCACAACGATTAAGTCTTTTTAAAGACCAATTCAAACCAGTCATTTGTTTTACTAGCTAATAAAATGGGTGCGTCTATTTTGGCTTAAAAGTCATAAATGCCTCCGTCTAAAAGTCCCCAGGCGACCAGGACCCGGCCGGAGCCCAGGAGGCCTGGCTAGCAAATGCCAAGAGCAAATAAATAAAACGGGCCCTTGTAAGCAGCACTGTGCCCAGCAAGGCTTTAAAGTCCAGGGCAGTTTTCAAAGTGTGGGCTCTACAAGCACTGCCTCGTGTACACCGAAGCACTCTCGCGCCACGCCCACCTGTTCTAATACGCAGGCAAGGCCAAAGGCACCTAAGACGTTAACACTGAGAGCAGCAAATATACACGGTCCCAGGTTTTAAAAAGTCACTTAATTTTTAAGACCTCCTTCCCCCCTCCCCCCATATCAACACCAAAAGTTTCTTACATGCAAATTTCTTAACTGCTTCACTTACACGAGGAAGCAGCCAATCTCTCTTAGATGACCCCAGTCAAAACTGGACCACTGCCCAAACATCCATACAGCTTAGTCCATCAGAGTGAAGAGATTCAAACCCCTACATGGGAATAACGATGGGATCACACACGGTACTTGCCCCCCAAATGCAGCGCCTGTTTTTATTGATCACTTCCGCCTTGCATGGAAAATTCCAACTCTCTCTGTATCTTCCTGAGGACAAGTAATTAAGAGAAAAAGTATGGCACTTAAATGTTTACCCTTTTACCCAATCTTCCCAACCTCAAAGCACTTATATTTCTTATTCATATTTAAGGTGTGCCAGTAAAAGAAACAACTGTAGTATTAAGTATGTAAACTTCAGACTAGTAAGAAGTCATTCTTTCAAATAAAAAGGTTTCTACGAGAAACAAACAAGGTGTAGCCTAGCCTGACTCACAAACAATGACTATGTCACAACTTAAAGAGGAGGACAACAGTTTTTATATGAAATGTGACA